TCATGTAGGCACCTCCTGGGGCCAAGTGTGAAGAGGTCCCAGCATCCCCCTCACAGACGAGCTCACATAAGTGCACCACCTTCTAATTCATCTCGGGGGAAGGCTTTGCAAGCCGCCAGTGAAAGCAACAGGGGAATGTCTGAGGTTTTTGTACTGATCCTAGCTCTACTTGCCTGTGTGCTGCATATAGCTACTGTAAGTTTGCAGGATCTAGTTTATGATTTACTTGCAGACACAAAAATGATAGCTCTCCATATTTCTGTAAAACTGATTTATTGTCTGTGTGTCAATGACATCAGCATATCCATCAGTGCAAGAGATGCATTTTTATCATTTTCTGTATTACAGTGAGAGATGTGCGCTTTACAAATAGCTTAAGCACACCCATAAAAATAAGCCTATCCCAAGTAATATATCAGGAATAGAAGTTCCTCTCCCCTGGATTATTGTTTCTTTTTGCCAGCTTGATCTCACAGGGCACTTGTAGCTCCACTGATGTACTGCAGGATGGAGGCCTGCCAGGGATCTGAAGGAAATAAAGTCCTGCAAGTTTTGCCAGTTCTCTCCTTCCTTTGCTACGTGTGTGCATGCACACTGAGGAGCAGGAACAGTTCCTTCCAGACTGTTTATGCTGAGCTTTGCCCTGCCTTGTCACCAGTGCAGCTGTGTGACCACAGTCCCTCCTTTTTCCCAGGCTCCATGTTCTTAGTACATGTATGCTTTGCTGAAGCATCTCAGGTAGGCACTGTGCATGTGCTGTGTTCAGCATGTCTGCTTCCAAGGGCTCTTGAGAAAGAATGAAATATGGCCTAGGCGAGAACTGTGCATTATGAGAATTTCAGGAATGATTTGCTCGGCCCTAAATAAAGGTTGTTTCCAATTAGGTTAATGAAAGACATCATTCTCATGGTCAGAGTCACTTGGTCTGGTACAGGGAGGTATAAATCACCTGTTTCTGTACATGGACACTCTTTACCCTCCAAAGAGCACGGAAGAGTAAGTGGCATAACTCGGTGCCCCAGGCAGAGCTAGCCTGATGGTGTGTGTATAGGCTCATATCTCAGAGCATGCATCCAAAGTGTGCCTCTGGGAGCCCTGTCCATTTTATATCCATTTGCGGTTGAGGTGAAAGAGTCACTTTCCCAGGAAGTTCTGAAGAGAAGCTTAGAAGCTGATGAATATGTAGCAAAACCTCCTTCCTCCTTCTGTTTCCACATCCACAGTATCATACTGTAGGTCTAATAACTTGGTGATTTTCTAATAAATTTAACTTTAGCATCAATTAAAATGCTTTGGCACACAAGGAAGGGAGAGGTGGGCTCCTAAGGACATTCATCATAGAAAGCAGATTGAGACTGGATTTTCATTAGCTGTGAAATTAAATATTCTGAAGCAGCTTTTTCACCCTGACAATTATGACTATGCATCAGAGTGATGTTCTCACCCTGCCCTGTCTGCTTCTGAATGTGCTGGTGGGCAGGAAAGCCCGTTTCCTCACATAACTTTTAGAGGGTGGCCTAAAAAATGGAGAAGTTGGGCTCCAACCTTTTCTGCTTCCTTGTGATGGAGGAATCTCATCTGATTGATAACTTTTCTGCAGCATCACTGCCTGCTCCCTTCAGTTAAAGCCTTAGATCCCCTAGTTGTCTGTCTTGCAGCCGGTAAACTTTAGTCTTCCACTAAAGCCCAGATTTGCCGTTGCTGCTTTTTCTTCAGATAAAATAACTCACAAGGTTTTAAACAAAACCTGAACAGAAGCCCCATTTATTTTGCTATTCTTTACCAGTCACTGCATAGTATGGTGAAGCTTTGAGGCTAGGGACCAGATTTGCACACAGTAGGTGAAGAAAGGTTGGGAAATATTTCCCTTTTTCCTTCTAGGGATTTCCAGCACTTGTGTCCAACAAGGCAGGATTGTCAGTGAAAATCTCAAGGGAGAACCTACGTCTCCACTGGACAGTCAATAAAGGGGGAGATTCAGCTTGAATTCTGGATGCGAAAGCACTTGGAGTGCTTGCAAGGGGCTCACGTTGCAGGGTCAGGAGGAGGTATCCAGGAACATCCTTTTTTTGAAATGATTGATCTTGTAAAGGGAGAAAACAATAATCCCAGAGCCACTGCACTCACCTCCTAAATGATTTCGTGTCTCTCTGCCATCAAGCAGTGTGTACGTGATGCCCAGAGCTTGTCTTGCACTGAGGTGCAACCTCGCAGGAGAGCGGCAGTTGGGCTGGTTTCTGCAGGCTGCCTTTGCAGAGGGAGCACACCGAAGTCACAGGGCCTGGGGCTACCCAGCTCCCTGAATAGGTCACAGCAACAGTTTTGCCATTGCTTTAACGTCTGCTGAAAGATGGGCCCCGCAGAGCCTGGGGCAAGGAGAGACAGCTTAAAGCTGCCTGGCGTCACCTCTACGCTGGTGCCTCTGGGATTCATGGGCTGTGCTCAGGATTCCTGTCGATTTGATTCCCCATACTCCCAGGGAGCAAACGGGAAAGGCAACCCCAGGTGACACCAGCATGTCCCAGTGCCTCGGCCAGCCAGGCAGGGAGGAGCTTCCCAGAGCTGCAGGTGCCATCAGTCGTGCGGAGGACACAGAGATGGGACAGTCACCTTCAACATAGATCTGTAAGTGGAAGCCTGTGAGCAGGTGGTGAGCTGAGCAAACTGAGTTACTCTGAGATGCTTTTAGTGTGGTGCAAGTGCAAAAAGATCAGGCAGTGCATTGCTTGCCTGGGTATCCAGTGCAGGCTGAGGAATGGCGTGCAGCTTCCCAAGTTAATGTTAGCTAGGATAAGGTCCTGCCTAAACCCTTTCCCTCTAAGCAAAACTCAGGGTTGATCTTGGTCCATTGCTGCTTAAACTCCAACCTTGCGTGCCCTGGTAATTATGTTGTGTAGACATCTATGGGGATGGCCAGGGAGTTTGCACTCTGCCCAGAGCAGCTAGAAAACCCAAGTGAGCAGATGGAGGTTACAGTGATGTCTCATAACTTTCTCATGAGCAGCATCTGCTGCTCTGGAGCCACACTGACAGGGCTTGGTTCTCTGCACTGTCACCAGGCAAGAAGAATAGGGAGAGAGTAGGAGGGGTGTAAAACAAACACCTTGTGAATTATGTTTGTGAAGAAAAGCAAATAGATACAGCTGAACTATATCAAGCAAATGAGGACATTAAAATGTGTTAGAGTGGTTGAAGGCTACCCCAGTGCCAAAGCAGAACTGAGAGCAATGCCCACCAGCCAGAAAAGCATAAGGAAAAGCAGATCAGGGGAGTATGCACCTGCAAAGTGTGTGCTGGGCTGGCAAGGAGAAGTCCTCTAAGTTAAGATGCTGATCTGACACCAACATGGTATTAGTTAAAGTAGGAAGCCTCTAAGACGCAAATACTAATGTTTTCCTTACATATTTTAGGAGGCAAATATTAAAAGCTACTGAATTTTTAAGGCTGAACATCAAAACTGTGTGTACATAAATACAAGTAATGATGTATGAGAAGTTGCTATACTGTATTTCTACTTACTGGTAACAAGACAGGGGACATTTGGTATGTTCAAGTAGCAAACTAGCTGTATGGCTGTCAGCCTGCCTGGGCCGTCACACTGCTTGGTGCTTTCTCCCATAGGTGTCTGCATATCAAGCCCCAAGGGCTAACAGCCTCTTCCAAGCCTGCAGATAATAGCTGGAGTTTAGCTTCTTGGTAAAGCACATGCTGCTGTTAAATGAATGCATTGTTTTGCACAACAAAAGATTGGAAAAATCCCGGGTGTGGTGGTCATTTCTCCAAAGTGAAAGATGGTGGCAGGAAGCTCTTTTGTACCATGAAACCCAAACAGAAGTGGTTAGACCTCCTGGCTGTGTGTGTTTGCCTTCGCGATGTCCATACAGTGCCACAGATTGGACTTGCCAGACCCAGGCAGGAGGATGGGGCATTTCAAACCAGTACAGTGTCTCTTTCTCATCACCAAAAGCCAATAAATGAGTTGGGGAAGGAGGAAAGTGTGCTGCACAGCTTCCTGAGAGCCTCTTTCCGTTTAGCAGGATGATGTAAATGGAACTTAATTTAAAATCACATTTGCATCAAGCTGTCAAACCAGTAACCAGAGCAAAACGTGTCTCAAGGATGCGGGAGTCTGCCAGCAGCACAAGGGCTTTGGCCATGTCTGCTAGAGCGAGTGAGTCAAAACCTGACTTGCTGTTGCTCCTTCTGCCTTCAGTGGATGACACCTCATTCTGTGTAGCACACACTTGCCGTGACTGTGTTGCACAGACCAGTTCTCTTGCTTCCCACTGTCTCTGTTCATAAGGGAACCATCCAGAGAGGCCAGAAGTTCAAACTCAGTTACAGTTGGAGAAGGAAGATCCCCAGCCGTGGGGTCTCCTGGGCCAGGGTTTGATAATGCAAGTCCCCTTGTCTGCATGGGCCCTTCTCAGCACACACAGTGCACGTCTCTCAGTAGAGGCAATTACTATTTCACCAGGATGGCACATGAGCAGGTCTCGGCTGCATCACAAGGGCCCTTTGGACCAAGCCTCCTGCTGATGTGGACACAGGGACAGGCGGAGACACGTGAAGGATGGGGCAAGCCTGGAGAGGCGGAACTTTGCAGAACACGAAGCCTCCAGCTCTGAGCAGCCAGTCCCCGTGTCCAAACCCACGACGCCTGTTGCAGTCAGCACATGGCTGAGATTGCGAAGAAAATTTAAATCTAAAGACTAAAGCTAATCAGTAAAATCTGTAATTGAAGAAATGGTAATCAAGTGAGATTACCAGCCCGATCCTATTATTGGCCCCTGCCCAGCCGGTTAGGTCAGTGCTGCACACAGCGGTAATGAAGCCACCTCCTGCAGTGGTGGGCTTGGGGGGGTGGCATGCTGCTGGCTTGGTTGTAGCACTGTGCCAGGAGTGTGTTGCAGAGCTATCCTCCCTGGGAACTGAGGAAGCTGAGCACTCCTTCATTAGCCAAAATTCATGCTCACTTGTATTTGTATCTTGCTTTGCAGATGGGAAACACATCCAACGCCTCCGTGTTCATCTCCACCTTATCGGAAAGAGAAGACTTGATTTTTGGCACACTCTATTTAGTCTTTGGTAAGGAAAGACAGCCTGTTACACCTGTGTCTCTGCTTGTGGGCAGCCCAGGTGCCTGCCAGAGGCGTTCAGGACTTTTGCAGTCACTGATGCTTCTGGAAGTGTTGAGTCATTAGCAGAATAATCAAACTGGCCCTTCCCACATTAGCCCTCCCCATGTTACTCAAAAGGACAATCTAGCCAAAGCTTGGTGACTGCATTCCCCTCTCAGGGGAACTGCAAGTACCAGTTATATCTTTAAATATTTGGAAAGTTGAAGAACAACCTTGGAGGAATGTGTGGTAACTCCTACTGCAGCCACCTGATGTGAGACAGGCAGGTAGTCTGTTAGCATTGCCAGCTCCATGACTATTGAAGGTGATTTGGACCTCCAGCTGGCCCTTATTTCAGCAGAAGATGCTGATCTATGTCATGTGATTTGGAGTTAGTGGCACCAGAAAGCTGGCAGGCAAAACTAAGGGGGCTGGGACGTGCTCTGAGGTGGCCTAGCCCTGGTTGGTGTGGGCCAGAAATGGACGATGGGCAGAGAAAAACCTTCCAGTTTTCTGAGCCCTGAGCAAGTTGTCTCCCAAATGCTAGAAGAGTTTTTCATGCCTGTGAGCATGGGGAACCCAAGGTATGCTCATGCCACTGGGACTGCCAGCAGTCCTGTAGGCACCTGCAGCTCCTAGGAGTTAGTAAAGCTAATCAAATGTACTTAGTACAGATGTGGGACTAGCTCTGTGGGAAAAATGCCTTGTGAGGCTGGGAGCAAGGACGAACATCTCAGTACTTTACCCTCCAGCAACTCCAAAGCCCTGGATTTGTCCAGGTCTTGTGTGGGAATCCTGTTCCTGAGAGGAACTTTAGTGTAGGCCAGTCAGTGGCTTTAGAAGCTGGTTCTTAACATGATATTTAATTTATAGGCTAATCCATTAGGGAGAAACTCTCATCCTACCCAACCTGCCCCAAGAGCAGCAAAAATTCCCTTTCTGAGGACGCTGAAACATCTTTTCAATGATAGCACAATTACGTAATTAAAAAAAAGAGAGAAAGCCATTGTTATAAAATTTTAATCACCACTGTTGTTTTAAATACACTAATAGCAAACAAAGAGCCTTTTATTTAGTCTGGATTTCCCTTGATCTTTGTAATGCCTTTCTTCTTGTTTGTTTTGTTACCATGATATTGGACAACACAGACTCACAGGAGTGACACTGGCAGGAAGAAATTAAAAAGGCAAAGGGGCCCAGCTCCTTGGCCTCACATCAGAAGAGCAATTGCACAGAGCTCCCGTTATTTATCTAGCTGGAAGGAAGTGCTCCCCTTGCTCCTTCCAGCTGGAAGAAGGGAGTGTGGCCAGATCCTGCTCCTGGAGCCCATTGCAGTCTCATCCCATCACCGTCCTCCTGTCAAACGCCTCTGTAGGATCTCAGGAAGGGGAAGGGATCAAATTCAATGTGAAGCAGCTCCAGATGTGCTCACAGAGCTCTGCAGGTCCCACGGGCTCCCCTGCTCCCCCTGCTCCGGAGGGGGAAGCCTGGAGCCCTTTCCACTGTCTGTAGACATCTCCAGTGTTTGCTTCCAAACACATCGAGATGATTCTGGCTCCTTTCCCAGCTCTGTTACAGAGAGCACTGTTCCTCTCCCTTCTCTGCAGGCATTGTGTCCCTCTCTGGGAACTCGCTGCTCCTGCTGGTGGCCTATCAGAAGAGGTCCATGCTGAAGCCTGCCGAGTTCTTCATTGTCAACCTGGCCATCAGTGATCTGAGCATGACGGTGACGCTCTCCCCCTTGGCCACCTCCTCCTTCTTTGCACACAGGTACTTTGTGGAAGTGATTCTGTGCTGGCCAATGGCCCTGGGTGCAGTTTGCAAACTTTGCCTTGAAATGGGGAGATACCTGACAGTGGGTGTGGAGGGACCCAAGGGGTCAGTCTGGTGGCACTGGGGCACTGTGTAACCTCACAGACATCCATCCCGCAGCGGGGTGCTTTGCTGTTCCCCGTCCCTCCAGTTTATCACACGGACCTGCTGTGAAAGGGGTTTCTGAGCTGGCACCCACATGGCACGGGCACTGCAGTGGTGTGCGCTGGCATGGATCAGGGCAGCTCCCGTGCTCGGGGATCCAGCTGTGCTTTTCACTGGGATGCTCAGGGAACAAATTAGGGGCGAGATCATGCCCATGTTTTCTTGGGCAATAGGTTTCTGGTATCCGTACAGCCCATTGCAGCCACCCCACGTGTGGCCAGCTTTGCTTATGGTGTGGGACTGGCAGCTGGGGCCCTACTGCCAGGAGAGCGTCTGGGAAATACCCAGCCTTCCTGAGAGCAGGAACCATGGAGAAAATTCCCATCCAGCCGAGTGGCAGGGGCTGTCAGCCAGCCACCCCAGGCAGAGGGGAAGGGATTTACCTGCAGGCTTTCCCTTCCAGGTGGTTGTTCAACCAGGCGGTGTGCACCCTCTATGCCTTCTGCGGGGTCTTGTTCGGGCTGTGCAGCCTCACCAGCCTGACGGTGCTCAGCACGGTTTGCTGCCTGAAGGTCTGTTACCCAGCATATGGTAGGTGCTGGGATGCCTTATCTGATCTGTACTTACACCCCTCTCTGTTAACATAACTCTTTTTTTTTTTTTTTTTTTGATGGGCCAGATCCACCTCTTCTGGGAAAGCTTTGCCCCACGGCAACCTATTCCCAGTCAATACACTGGGTGCGGCAGACTCTGAAGGCTTTTATCACTCATGGATTCAGCCCCCTCCACCTGCATGGGGCTACGGAGCCCCAGCACCTTGTGCCCCTGTCCCCATGCCCTATGCGTGCATCTCGGCCGTCCCCTGCTTCACTCTAGCACTCAGGAGTAACATCCAGAAAAGTGTCGAGGGGGTTGTCCTCCCTCTGTAGAAAAGTCCCTGGCTGCTGTATCAAAACAGATTGTAGGGTTTTGAATGTCCATACACAGACTTGAGCTTAGACTAGAGCAGACTCTGTATCTAGGAAGCCGCAAGCTCTGGCAGTGCAAGGAAGAGCTGCTTTCCCTTGTCCCTGGTGGGAGAGCCACAGGCCAAATGTATTTAATTCACTGAAATAATTAATACAGGAGGACTGGGTTTCGGTGTTACAGCTCACTTCTGTAGCCCTATTTTCACCTGGACTTCCTCCGCAGAGCTAATGTGAATGTTTGCAGCTCTAAGCTTGAGCACCAGCTCTTTGTAGAGGGCATGCAGTGCAGAGCAGCTGAGGAAGCGAGGGGACCCAGGGATGTGCCCTACACATTTACAGCTCTTCCTATTTGGAATTGCTTCTTAATTTCCTCAGTTCAGCTGCTAATCCTCCATATAGCATGTATCTCCAGAATAGACTTTGGATCAAAGACCAAAAATAGAAATAAAATGGGAAATCAAAGATACTAGTTTGATTTGCAGATCAGCACCCCAGGGTGCATCCTCACTCCCTCTCCCGTGGCTTGCTGTCTGCCTCGAGCCTGTGGCTGTTGCCAACCACGAACATGCTTTTTGCCCAGCAGCTGACAGTGCCTCAGGGACGATGCTGGAGTGGAGTCACCTTGGTTATGTGCCAGCACAACACCTCAGGAGATCACTAAAAAGGTGGAAGGAAAGATAAAGATAAATGTTGGCTATTAAAGGCAGCCCAGGTACCGGTGACTTTTCCCTGCACAGGTTCTGCTCTCTAGATTAGCCAGCGCTTGGCAGCCTGGCATGTCGAGCTTATCTCCCCATGACACCCCAACCCATTGTCCGTGAGGAAATATACTTTTAATTGCTTAGTTTCAAAGAAAAATGTTACTCCTGTGTATGGCTGAGGATTTAGCACTTTATACTGAAGTCTTAGAAGATCAGGGAGTTTTAGATTTGGTGGGGGATGGGACAAAAAGGGGAAAAAACCCACCTCCCCCAATGCTTCCATCTGCCGGAGAGGAAAAGGTCCTTCAAACGACAGTGTTTGGGATGGCTTTGAGCAGTCCCAGAGCCAGCTCTCCCTGCCCCATGCTCAGGCTGCTGCAGCCAGGCAGCCTCCCTCCCTCCTGGCTGCCCATGGGGCCGTGGCCGCAGCCCTGTTCCTATGGGGCTGTGGGTGCAGCGTGTCGCCCCCATGCCACCAGCAGCCACGCGACCTCCCAGCAATTCCTCCCACAGCTGAGAGGCTGCACCGCTGATCCTGCCACTTGCTGCCCAGACTGGGGCAAACCTTTACGTTTCTCTTGGCTCCTTGCTCTGTACCAAGGGGACAGGAGGATGCCCGTGTGTCCCGGGGCCTGGGGGTGAGTGCTGGCGTGGCTCTGCCTGCTCCGTAGCTGCAGTGCTGCCATGCTGTGCACAGCAGCTCCTGCCCGAGCCGGGCAGCCCCACATCTCGGGGTCACAGCCCCTCTCTCCACTCACCCTTCCCATGGGAAGCCATCCTCCTCACCGCAATCCCTCTGCCACAGGCAACAAGTTCTCCCCCTGCCACGCTGGAGTGCTGCTGCTGTGTGTCTGGGCATACGCTCTGATGTTTGCCACGGCCCCCCTGGCCAAGTGGGGCAGCTACGGCCCTGAGCCCTATGGGACAGCCTGCTGCATCATGTGGAAAGCCTCAAGCAAGGAGGCCACGATCTACATCCTCGCCCTCTTCGTCTTCTGCTACCTTCTCCCCTGCCTCCTCATCCTCGTCTCCTACTCGCGGATCCTCTGGACAGTGCGGGTGTCCCGGAGAGCCATCAGACAGCACACGTCCCCCCAGCGCAGAGCCCACAGCGTGCACAGCCTGGTCATGAAGGTAGGGGAGGGCTTGGGGCAGTGCAGGCTTTCAGGGTGTCCCCTGCCCCAGCCGACCACCCTGTGGGCAGGTGAATGCGGCAGGACCCCTTCTGCCAGCCAGCGGTGTCTGCCACTCCTGATGAATTCTCCAGGTGTTTGTGTTAGTTTGGGTAATAACACATTCCTCCTCATTTAAAGCCATCAGGTAGAGGAATTTTCATTTTAAATTACATTGGAAAAGATCATAAAAGGAGCTTGCATGAGTCATTGTTCCCCAGACTACAAGCTAATACTATAATTTACCAAGGATATGTCCACAAAAAAAAAAAAAAGGTGGATACCCTTTAAAAAAAAAAACCCAAACATGGAAGAAAACAGCTTGCAAGCCTGGCCTTGAAGGAAACATTCATGTCTGCTTAGAGGACAGGGTTCTGAGCATGGCCTGTTTCCAGAACCTCTTAGTTGGTCTGTAGTCCGGCACACAGATTGCCGGAGGGATTTGAGCGCTGCCAAAAGGCTGTTGGAGTCCGATGCTGGCCTGGTCCCAGCTGGTCGCTGGGTGCTCCGTACCTGTCTGCTCTGGCAGGCTGAGGCAATTCCCACATTTCCCAAGTGGAATGAGTGGGAGTCACCTGAAGCGAGTGCAGGTTTATGCACCCACGCTGGGATGTACTGAGTTGCTGCCCTGATGTCTGACACCCCGATGCTTGAATGTGACAGGTCTAGAAGGCGGAGCACCTTTCCCTGGGGATGTGACCGACTGTTCAGGGTCCCATTGCACGTTGGTGGTTGTCAGCCTCAGGCTGGGTTTTGGCAGGGGGGGGGGTGTGTCCAGCATCCCACGTATGCTGCAGGAAGTTCATGGCACCACCGTCTCCATCTCCTTCTCTTCCAGCTGAGCATTGCCGTGTGCCTGGGGTTCCTGGCTGCCTGGACCCCTTATGCCATCATCGCCCTGTGGGCAGTACTTGGGGATGCCAGCCAGGTGCCAGCGCTGGCCTTCGTGCTGTCAGCCGTCTTTGCCAAGTCCTCGACACTCTACAACCCTCTGGTGTACCTGATTTTCAAGCCCAACTTCCATAAGTTCCTCTCCAAAGACATGGTGCTCCTCCAGGCCATCCGCACCCTCTTCTGCTGTGGCTGCCCAAGTGCCATGCTCCAGCCCTTCCCATCCCTGGGCTTCAGTGACCACCCTGGGGCTTGCAGAAACTGCAATGACACTTTTGAGTGTTTCAGTAACTACCCCAAGTGCTACAAACTCCCCCAGGTGCCTGGCAGCTCAGCCCGGCACGCTCCCCTGGCTATCCTGGCCGATGGAGCTGCTTGCCAGCCAGGGCTGAAGAGGACGGTGCAGGTGATGGTGCTCGTCACACGGAAGAGGTCAGGCCTGAGCGCTGCGAATGTGGTGGGGGAAGCCCTGCCGCCGAATATCATGAAAGACCTTCTCTGAGCCCAGCTGTGCTTGGCTGAGTCCTATCAGCACACTGGAAGACAAAACCAACCACAACTTTTCTCTCATCTATGTATCTGATGGGTTCCCAGCATGTTCTGCAGATGAAGTGACACGAAAATTTAAGACCAACCTTGCCTCCCCCTCTGGTTTGGCTCTTGCAACTCTGAGCCTAGTCTTTGCACTTGCAAAAAAAAAAAACCCAAACCAAAAAACGACGACTCCAGTGCCTGTAATCTGCCCAGGGTGCAAGTCCAGGGTGCAGTTCCTCCTGCAGCTTGCTCTCTGGGGCCTTGGCCTTTGTTTTTTCATCCTGGTGCTCTGATGACCAAGTAGGAACATGATTGTCTTAAGAAACTGCCTGGCAGGGAGGGCTGGGGGCAAGGAGGCCCTGAGAGGCATCCTACTGCAGTGCCAGCTCCTATAGCCCCTGCTGACCATATCCTTTCCTGTTGGGGAGCAGGACCATGCTGCTCAGCTACCTCACTTGGTATTATGAAGCATCTTTATGCACCTCTCAAGAGACTACTCTCTGTGCAGGCTGAGTTACCCCACTCCCTTGGTTTGAATGCAAACTCAGCACCATCCTATAGATAGAAATGGGAGCTTGTCTTTAGAGTAAGGATTTGGGGTTAAAATAATCCCGGTGCGAGTAATAGCGGTCCCAGGTCATGCTCTGCAGGCAGAGAATGGCAAATCTGTGGGCCGAGCACCATCCTGGAGACAGGGCCTTGGCTGTAGGGTGTCTCCTGGTAGCTGGGGCGACGGGGCAGCTCATGCCATCTGCACTGCCTGGGCAACAGCATCCTGTGGGCCTGTAGTCAGCATTTAGCGTTTAGTGTGGTCAGTTTACCCATGTGAACAGTCTGGGATGAAAAAGACCAAGAAGCTGTGAAAGGGCCCAATGCAAAGCCATCAACAGAAAAGTCCCCATGTTACCTGCTGTGGCAGGCAGACGTCCCTCTCCGGTAGCACGCTGGCAGCCCTGCGGTGAAGCTTGCCTGGGGCTGAGCTTGGAGGGCTTCCCATCCCACTCCCCCGCAGCACCAAGCTGCTTGTGTGCCCAGCCTTGGGCACAGCAGGAGCTGGTTTTGCTTTGCAGGGGGTGAACACCACAGCCAGGGTGCTGAGAGGTTGGTTATGGCCCCCAAAATTAAAAGATGCATTCAAGGTGATGAGAAGAGTCAGTAGCAGAGATGGGAAATGTGCTGCCCTCCGGCAAACAGCTGGTCAGTTAGTCGTGGGAGTGCTTTACGTTGTCACTGGATAATGAACAAAACCCACACCGCAACCCATCGCTAGAGCTGCAGCATTAAATCATGGACATGCTAATTAGGAATAGTGAACCATTTTCTGCACCGAATGCTGGGAAACAGCCACTGCCCCCGATGCTGTCACTGGCTGTGCTCTGCCTGCCAGCCCGCCCAGCCACCCTGCCTGTAAGCTGATCCTGAGCTCTCCCTCCTCCCTCTGCTCTCCAGATACAGATATTGCTGGATTTAGCAGTTGCTCCCAGAACTGGGATGTACCACTGCCTTTTCTTAGCACCAATACAGCAGCCTCCTCTCTTCCAAGGACACAGAGCACTTGACAAAAGACCCGCTGGCTGCAGGCCATGCACAAATACGGGGGGGGGGCAGGTGTGGTCCTGGGGGAGCAGACAGCAGATGCCCACCACCGGTCATTTAAGCTACAAACTTGGTACCGGTGAACCCAGGCATTAAAAATATTGAGGGTTTTTTTTTTTTTACCTCAGTGTTATGGCCCAATTCCAGTGTACGTGGCAACTGGGCTGGTGTGAGCTCTGCGGTGGGGAAAGCTGTTGCTGCATACAGAGGGACCCAGTGAAGCAGCGAAGGGTGCTGGGGCGCTGGTGGTCCCGCCCTTGCTTTCCCTGTGTGTGCCATCATTACTGGCTGCTGCTGCACACCTCTAATTAGTGTACGACAGCATGACAGTTGTGGCACTTGCTTTTGTCCCTTGGTCATTTCCCCATAGCCACTTTAACTAGCAGTTTCCCCGTGACAGGAGAGGGTCATCGATACCTCTAGGGTGCACTTGTATCTTCCCGGGATGGTTTTGCCCATGTGTGAGACCCGCAGGTGCAGATGGTTAGGGCAGGGTTTATGCACAAGAGCCAAGTAATAACTGAAAGTCTATGCGAAGAGCAACATTCCTGCCTTCGTTGCTATGCAAAAAACCCCCACTCAACCCAAAGATGTGCAATATTTGCAAAATGCTGCAAACAAACAAAGAAAAATCAGGGCAGCCAGTGAAGAGACAGGACAAAGTTTCCAATGTGGGTACGCACTTCTAGGAGGGTCAGTCACCACCTGGCCCAGGGCATGGCTGCTCAGCTCCTTCCCACACCACAGCTCGGGGCTCTGCTCCCTGTGCCCTGTCCCAGGCACTCTAGCACACGAGGGAATCACACTCGGTGTCTCTGCTGACTAGTCATCATATTCTAGAAATTGTACATTTAAAAAATAAATTCACTCATGCAAAACTGGCATTCGACTTGGTTACTGGCCACACTCTGGGATAAATGGAAATATTGCTGGTGTGCTGCCGCTGCACGTGGCCAGGGCAAGAGCATGGGCAGGCTCGGTGCTGTGGGTGAGCAATCAGAGACGGCACAGCTCATCGGCCAGGGCACGGGGATTCGAGGCAAGCAAACCTCTCCTTCCCCAGCAGCAGAGCCTTCCTCCTGCCGGGGTGAAGCAGTGATGGTGCTGGGGCACCCTGGCCCACAGGCTGGGCTGTGCCCTCGAGCTGCCACCTCGGCCAAGCCCCATCTGTACCTGCTGCCCATCACTGCCCTGGGAGGAGAGGAGCCTCCAGAAAGGTGGCCAAGGGCTGATTTCCCACTGGAGGACACGAACACGAAGGGCTGCTGCCATCTCCTGGGGTGTCTCAGGGCATGGCCACCCTGGGACAGGCTGTGGGGTGGAGGACGTGACCCTGGCTGGCCTGGTGCTTTGGACTGTGATGGGCTTGGGGACATGGTGTGGTCCAGCCACTGACACAGCACCGGGTCCCTGCTTTGCTTACCAATCCCTCTGCCCTGCTGCTTTGTCCCCTGCTAGCTAAAAAATACTGCAGTCCAGAAATCACCTACAAGAGACAGGAAAAAAAATCTGAAAATCCCCTTGGTCCTTTATTACTCCAGGAAAACTCCAGATCAGCATCTTCATCTTTAGTTTGGTGGAGAATGCATAACATTGAGAGCATGTAATACCAAATATGCTTTAATCTACATTTATAGAAATGCTCCTGCTGCTGGGGAGTCCATGCAGCGGCACTGCAGCCATTTAGCAAAATCCGTATCAATTTAATTAACTACTTGCACTGTGGCCAGGCCAAACAGCAGGTCCAGGGTCCCTCCCCTGGCACGACCTGGGGCTGCCATAACGCAGGTACTCCTACCTGCAAGGCTGGACCTCTCCCCTGGGGCATGACAGGACTGATGCTGATTTCATCAGTGTCCTCAGCTGGGAATGGTGCCATCAGCTGCCACCAATTACCTGAGGACAAGAGTTCCCTCCTCTCCCAGCAAGGGTAGCTCCGTGGCAGCTGCTGGTGGGGTGACCTTGGGACTGTGAGGAGGATGGTGGCTTTGCCCCTTGGGGTTCAGGTAGGGTCTGCACTAGCTGCTGTGGCTGGGCAGGGTTTGGGAAGTGGTTGCTGGTTGTGAGAACTGATTTCTTTGGCTTTCGGTGCTGCTGAAGCCTGGTCCCCAGCTCTGAGCTGGGTGTGAAGGGGGATTGAGGTTGCAGTGCTGTGTTGCTGCTTGGTGAGAGCCTGGTCCTGGTGCAGGGAAGAGCCAGGGCTGCCTTGATTTGGGTTTGGTACCTGGGCAGGTGTGCAGTGGTTGCTGTGCTTCCCGCTTGGTGCTGGCTGAGAGCACTTGTGCCTTTTACCAGTGATGGCTTTATTTTCAAATAGCCATCATATTCCAAATACAATCAACATCTTGAGGTTGAAGATGCTGAGGCAAACACAGACATGTATGCTCCATTGATCTATATGTAAGAAATACATAGTTACCAATAGACCAGCTTGAGCCAGAAAACCTGCAGCAAGAAATCTTTCTCAAGGAGAGATCCCTTCCCAAAGGCAAGCTGGCAGATGGCAATTACAACCATAAGGCAGTTTCAAAAGGTAGTTGGTCCATTCTGGGATTATTTTCTGCCCAAATTTCCCATGATTTCACATCTATTGGTGTCATAAAATTACTTTGCCCTATACAATCAGGTTAGTACCAATAACCCTTGGGGTTTCTGTGTTCTCCCACTGACAGTACCACAGGGCTCTGGGATATGTGGTTTGCTCACTGTGACTCTGGTAATAACCTGCAAAGCAACAGCCTTTCCAGGAAACCTTCTCCTTTGCTGCCTTACCTTGAAAGTAAGCAGGCGAATGATGCAACTCTCGGGAGAGCCTCAGCCTGGCAGGAGTTTAGGTTTGAAAGAGAATTTAAGGGTGAACTAAAGCAGCCGGTGTGTGTCCACACAGTCTTCCCACTCATGCTGGGGACATCGGCACGCTCTTCAAATCAGTGTTGTGTCCCACCAACCACAGCTGCATACAGGGCCAGACCCTGGAACAATGCAGCATCCTGCAGCTGGCTGTGTGATAGCACCGGCAAAACAGATGGCGTGTGATTTGAGCCTCTGTCTTAATTTATTGAATGGCTTCACCCGAAGGCTGTCCCTTCCTGTGTCCTCCAGACCCCAGGAGCAGTCTCTAGGGCTATGTTTCACAGTGGTCATGGCCAGTAAAATGTGATTTTTACATAAATGAAGCTGAGAGCAAACGTTGCAAATTCTTCTGCGACTTCCCCCTCTGCTCCTGTCTGGACAGCGGGCTCAGCTAAAGGTAGCAGTGGTTAGATTGTCTGCAAACATGAACCTCTGGGAAAAAATCTGCCCTTTCAGTTTAATTTCCATTAACACTGGTTCTGTGAATTGGCTCTGCAAGGACAGCCTCACCTCACATGAGGTGACTGGTGCCTGCTGTGCTCCCCTCGGAGCTGCTCTGAGGCTGCAGGGACATGCTCTACCATTCTTCTGCTTGGTTTGCAGAAAGAACAATTGAGTGTGCCCCGTAGCCAGGATGCATAAACCGAAATGTCCCCCAGGGCCTACTGCAAGCTGTGTTCCACTGCAAGCTCATCCAATTCCTGTTCAAATTAAAGTGGGCATCACCAATGAAGATCCCATCAGCTCAGAGAGCTGCCCTCAGCCTGCACCACTATTCCAAGTAGCGGCCAGTGACCCCTTGCATTCAGACCCTTTGTACCTCCAAAATGGGCGGTTGCACAAAGCGGATGGTGCATGTTCCCCTCTGGTGTCAGTGCTCTGACTGTGTCATCTCCTGTGGCTCCATTCTTCTTGAAGGGTGAGCAGCCCTCAGCTCCAGTCTGTGCCACTGACCTTTAATCACAACCCAATGGGTGGAAACCTCCTCTCTGGGATGGGTGACCTCGCCTACAGGCTGCGCAGTCACTGGGAAAAGGCAAGGGGTGTTTAACAAGCAAACTTGTTAAAGCTCTGGTCCTTCTTTCCAAAGGTCAAGCTCCTGAATGGCAGATAATGACTTGCTTTCAGCCCTTTTATGGCAACTTTTAGATTAGGCTGTAGAAACAGCCTGTAGGTGCTTTAATGTTTAAAATAAGTGAGTGTGTCTTGGTGTGGTTGAGTTAAAAATAACGTCTTCATCATGATGAAACCAAGGCAGGGAAAGCTGGAGGAGTTTGCTGGTGAGTCATGAGCAGGCTGGGGCTGGGGTCTGGCTCTTGGGCACCCGGGGCAGAGGTGGGGCTCGAAGATGGTGCAGGCTGAATGCAAACCAGACCCTATGGTAATGATCACTTCATCCATGACTGTCACACAGCTGTCTCAGGATACAAGGTGCCCCCAGACACACCACTCTGTAGGGGACACAGTAGTGACGGCATGTCTGCAGGAAGGACACGCTGGAGCCCCATCACAGGCTCCATCACGTTTTATGGGTGAGACCTGGGAGCTCTCCTGAGCTGAGCATTGGCTGGTGGCTGTGTGGCAGCCCTGCCTGGGGGCGAGGCTCACATGCTGCCCCAAGCCCAGTGGCACAGCCATCCTCAGTGCAGCTGTCCTGATGGGAGATGAAGGGAGTGGGGCAGGCAGGGGCATCCACTCCCTGCCTGGCACAGGGGTTGCTGTCAGGCTGGCCACTCTGATCGTAGTTTTAGTAGCCCCAAAAATCAAGCAGCTGAGGGCCACTTGTTGGCCTTGCCAAAGGGATCTTGACTAGTGGGGAAACTGAGGCACAGATCAGGCCTTGTGAGCCAGCAGTGATGACACAGCAGAGTGGCTTTGCTGTCCCCTTTGAGCAGTGATGTGAAACCTGGTGAAAGCCCCTGATGGTTTTAGGAATGGGATGGGCTGGAAAAGGTGGAAAAATTACTTCTGGGAGTCTCTGAGTTGGCAGAAGCTGTGTTCTGGGCTCCCCCTGACCCTCCTTTGCATGGCTGCTTAGTCATCCAGAGAAACAGCCATGGGGTTTGCAGCCTGGCAAAACTTCAGGGCTCTGTAATTAGAAACATCTGCATTGTACTTGCTGGTGGTTCTGTATTTAAGAGAGCAGAAAAAATCAGGTTTACACTTGCACAAATTTGCAGATGACACCAAGTTAGGATGGGGCTGCTAGTACTTGGGGAAAGAGGATTGGAGTTTAATATTGGTCTGATAAAATAGGAAATTATCTAATTAACTGCAGGACAAGTCAATAAGGAGACATAATTTTTCTTTTCTAAGCATATTATTTTAAGCAAAGAAATCCAAGCTGTGAAATGACTGTCACAGAAAAGTCAATGTATTGATAAATGAATATGAAAATTGGTCACTATGGTAAAAACTTCTCTTGGTTCCAAAATAAGGAAGTTAGTTATTGCATATTTTGAGAGAGAACAAAGTTGTCTTAATTCCAAGTTTTGACAAATGTAGTATTTTCTTAAGTTTTAGAATGGTTGCTTTTAAATTAAACCATCCAAATGTTCTTCAATTTAACTGCTGTAAAGTTATTTCATTAGTTCTAGCTGTGTCAGTTAATTGCTTCAATTTAATGTGTAAAATTATTCCCAGCAAATGGCTCTCATTAGATGTTGGCATACTATCACTAATTGCCAGCAGAGGGCAGGAAACTATCAATTTACCTCGATGGATGTTATCAAAAGGCTGATCTATTGGTGCAGACCTTTACTCATTTCACAGGTGGCCTGTTTCACCAGAATAATAGAAATTAGAGGCTATTCTATATTTCAGAGTGACTGAGGCATCACACTAAGCCCAGTGTAATAGCATCTAGATCAATGTATACCTTCCAAGGCGTGCATGGCAAGAGAAGCTCCCAGAGACCTTCCAGCCAGCTCCTGGCTTAAATGTTCAAGTTGAGAAACCTAGCAAGGCTGACAGGTAACTAAAATGTAATTAAGTCTCCTGTTGTCTAGAAGGGTGAAGAAAAGGTTTGATTTTTATGCAGACCCTCTCCTAAGGATAAAGCAAGCACTGATTGCTTTCTGGTCAACACCAGAAGCTGAGTTCATGCCCCATTTGGACTCCCACCAGTGCATGCTTCAGCTCTGGGATTAGCAGAGAAGTTCTTTGAACTCATGGGGTGGGAAAAGGGGAGAAGGGAGTCCTGCAGCAAGATGTGTTATTTTGAAAAACTGCTCAGACAGCACTGGTTTAGGATTCTAAATACATTCTTGAACTTTTATTCCTCACAGCAGGTAAGCAGTTGATTAAACACCCCAGTAGCAAAACCAGACCAAAAATAGAAGTCTCACGCTTTTAGAAACAAACGTGCACTTGCATGTCAGATTTATGTGCAGAACTACAATTCACATTTCAACAGTGAATATGCAAATTACTAATGAGGAATTTGGGTTGGCAGTGAGAGCAAACCACTGCATGTGTAACCACTGCAAACGTTTAACAAACCCTGCGTGTCTGTTTAGGTGTATGCAATTTTGAGCAAACAGACTAGGCCGTGTAGAAAAAGCGAGATGATACTGCTGATTTTGAAATACTGTAAGCAGAAGAGAAAAATCCTATTAGCAAATAGGACAGCTTAATGAAAGCTGTTTGGCACTTCCCAACTGAGGCTGCTTCAGCACTGTGCAATATTAAACTTGCTGTACCTGGATTAGATTTTGAAGACCCTTCTTCCTCATGTACACACTGCTTTTGCTTCTACTAGAACTTAAAAATTCCACTAGTGAATTCTGCAGTGTTAGGGATACTTCATGAATTAGGCAAAACAAAAGCCTCTCTTTTCTAAGACTTGAAGCCAAGTGCCAGCAAGGAGCAACTGTCAATTATAGAAACCCAACTGCAACTCTCTTTAGCCAAAGAAAAAAACCACATTAAAACTAGAATTTCAAATGCAGTTCTGTACTGTGTCATACAATCGCCCACTCCCCCAAACCATGCTATAATTAGTACTGTGTATTAGATACCTCAGTATAAAAAACCCACCCAAACCCATAAAATAGAAATAGAGAATTTCTTAAATGACAAAACCATCAGTTTTCAGAGATGCCTCCTTGTATGTGCAACATCCATTTTTTGTCAAGGTACGCATCTTCTCTGGATTCATAATGTGCAAAACCATAAACTATAGATTTATTCCAGTCAGATTCCCTTACTAGTGCTGAAACAAATTCACAGTATAAACTGTCAAGACTCTCCATGCTGTGAATGAATATATATAAAAAAAGTAAAGTGCAATTCATTCTGTTTTGCAGAGTCATACAATGGCTCTATACTTCAGCATATGTTTACAGCAGATTTTGTAATAGGAAGAAGACACCCCCCCCATTAAAGAATGTCATCATTTTGTGGCAGACGTTCCTGCTTTTCAACAGGCTGCATGAAATTTGCTATGTTGTAAAATCTGAACAAAAGGTTCTTCATTCAGTCCAGTGTCTGACACTTTGGGGTTTCCATTGCTGACCAGTAATATCGAGCACAGTAGGTCTGCAGTTTTGTACCTAAATGTGTAGCACAAGACATGCCTGAAATGAGAAAGCTCATTCTTAGCTTTCCAGCTTCTGTGCAGTCAGACTCTTGATACTTAAATCCTCTTTCTCATGCTCTAATGATAAACTTACTGCACTCCTGCCCCAGTCTGCTATAGCAGCTCTTGCTCATCATCTTCAGATCCTGAGGGTCCTTGTCGTACCTCTTCATACCATTTGTTTGTGAGAGTTTTCATCTGTATGCGCCCGTGATGCAAGTCCTAAGGCAAAAGAAAACCAGAATAGTTTGTTACTTAGCTACAACACTACCTGTGTGTTAGAGCAAAAGAGAAATACTAGTTTAACATATTCCTTAAGAAATCACTCCAGGTCTCTTAAGCATGCAAAGCAATTGTTTCCTATGAGAAAATATTTATCCAGTGCTCAATCAGTAATTGTTTCCACAGACAATATTTTTGATGACAGATATTTTTACCTCTGTGCTCTAGACAATCCTGCTCTGTGGGTTTCAACAATCCTAATGCTGTCTGGATGGCATGGTTTTGAATCTCGCTCCTCTCTATGTGTTCCCAGGGACAGTGGGAAGCTTGTGGCCTGCTTTGGTGATTCACATATTTATTTCTGTAGCCTTTGGTTGCAATCTGGATGGCAGCCTGAGCTTTTGGCTACCAACTAAGAATCAGATGCATGCTCTGGTCTCTTGATTTCCTATTAGTTTTGCAAAAAAAACCCTTTAGCTTTTGTGGAAAAGTGCTGAAAGCATTCTTTTGAAAAGTACAAACCAAGAGGAAAATAGTATGTTTGTGCAGGCTAGGAATATGGAATGTGCACACTTTAAACAAAATTATTAACTCCACAGCAAAAATGCTTAATTCTATGGCAGATTTGAAAAACAGTGAATTATACAGCCAAGGATTCTCAGGTTTCTGAGACGTGGAGTGAAAATGGCATAGTATTTACACCTCTCAGAGCCACTCAGTGTTAAGTTACATGTTCAGTCAGGTGTCATTTTGCATTTACAGCTTCAAGGTCTTAAAAGTGAAGGCTGCAATTCGGTGCATATTTCCAAGATAAAGACTGCACTCTGCAGAAAAAGCACAACTCCAGAATTCACAAGACCACGTACAGTAAAAAGTAGTAACTTTGTGTGATAGCACTTTAAAAAATGCATGAGTGGCAACAGCCTTTTCTAGCAACAGTAGTAGCTAGTGACTCCTGATACTCTTTATGGTACTCTGCAAGATTAAAGGTCAGTTCAATAAATCCACAGACCTTTTAAAGTTTAATTGTGGTAGCCCTGAGAAATGCTCATTTAATCCAATCTGCAATTTTACAGTGCAGCTTTTCATTACAGCTGCTCTACATATGCACAAGTAATATATTAGATGTCTCACTGTTCCTAATGCAGACGTTGCATGGCTACACTATGAGCCTTGTATGGTACAGAGTGAAATGACAACCAACTCTACCACAGTTTCTTTTCTTTGAAAAAACAAGAAACTTACTTCTTGTGTGAGTCTTCTGGTGAAGAAAGGATTCAAATACTTGGCATCAAACCACATAAACCCTTTGAGGTCCTGGCGTTTTATGTACTGGGCTTCATATTCCTCCTCTGTGAGCTCTGATAAATGTTCAGATTCTATGGTATTTCCCTAGAAAGATCACAAATACTGGAATAACCTGAGAAATGTGACAGTCATCCCTCCAGCTTGTTTCAGTCCCCTGCTCTGTGCTCTCCCTTCGCTCAACCAATTCCCATGCTGAAACAATATGGAAATTACCATCCCAGCCTACCAGGGCTGTATGAATCTGTCCAGCTTCTGATTCCTAGAGCCACTTAGCTTCCTTTTTCATGCTGAAAGGTAAAAAACCTCAAATGTTCCATATTTTGTATTGTTACTATTGCTGAGAACAGATTTCCAGTGTGCAGGTTTTCTCTTGTGAGCTGGACAATCATTTTATTCAGCAAGCAACACTAATGTCATCGTCTCACTGAAAACAAGCTCTATATCAGAACATACTCTATCCCTGTGCTCTTCCTATACTGTGTCCATGTACAGAGAGGTATGTAAGATAATTCTGAAGACTGCAAGCTTTTAGAAACCTCACACCAAGAGGAGTTGTTCTTCAGATCCTACAGAACTCCACTCTACATGTATTGTTCGATGGTTTGGGGAAAAACAGGCCAATGCTCTTGTTACATTACTCTGTTACGTTCTCCAACCTTTTGCACATGATGTTTCAGACTGGATCTTAGTTTTCCTCCGTACTCTTAGCCAGAAATTGCTTTAAAATAAAACCCAGCCAGAGGGGTGCTGTTGTTACTACCTTCTCATGGCCTTTGGTTTGACTTTTTGAAAATAATCCCCATCTGCCTTTTATGATTAATTCATGACTCACACTGTACTAGCTACTTTCCCGCTGCATATTACTCAATCCTGTATCATCTGCTTTATGCTTTTGTAAGGGTTACTTTAATTTGTATGGATCAATTTATAATTAGATTGAGTTAAGAGACTTTATCTCCTCCCTTTGTCCAAACAGTTATTTTGTGTAAATGCTAACAAAGCTTTGTCTTTGTGATATTTTAAAATTATATTGCTTGGCTTTTTCCTACCACCTTGGCTTTTTCCATTACTTCCACTTTACTTTTTAGTAAAAAAATAATACACTAGTATTGCAAAATGTAAACAAGAAAAATAATTAAAAAACCCCAAAACAAAACAAAAAACCCCCAGCGAACCTCTGAATAAAAAACCCAAACAAACCATCTTCTCTGTCTTGCTAAGATTAATGTCCTTCTTGTTCCTCTTGCGTGCTTTGGAGTCTTCAATGTCAATCAGTCTGATGAGGGGCATGGTTCCTCCTCCCAGCAGCAAAATCGTGAACAGTACTATGATGATTGTTGTTGTCCCAATGAGCTGCCGCTTCTCTATGGGTTCCAAGCCCAAATGTAGGCTGAGAGCATAGGGAATTGCACCACGTAAACCTTGTCAGAGAGAACAGTAAATCAATGAGGAGTGAATCAACAGCTACATTGGTCCTCAGCATCCTGGTAACTCAACAGGAATTCTCCATCTTTAAAAGATTTTTACAACCCTATACCATGTCCATTTACCTATCATTTGGTTACAACTCTAAAATGAATCTGAGCTCTTCAGATACTGTTGTTCAAACTGTGAAGTTGCTAGACCCAGAAAGAAAAGCAGACTCTTTGCCAAAAAGCTTTAGTGGGGATCACCACTGCATAGTCCTCTAGCACAAAGGTGAAAGAGAACATTATCTATTGCACTTGAGCTTGAGAACAGTGCAAATGTTCAGCTGAGTTTTGCTCCACAGATGGGAAACCAGTTCTTCCCAGCGTAGCCCACACAATGGAAAAAATAAAACATTTTTTTCCAGTTCTCTGTACTTTGAGCTTTAACTTACCGCTAAACCACATGATAAACATCATTTTGGGGGTGATTTTATGATCACGGAAAAAGTTGAGTAGGTAGGAAAGTGGGAAAATATTCACTGCTCTACCAAACAGAACAAGTACCTGAAAAACAGAAATAAAAGCAAAAGGCCATTTGATGTCTTATGTTCGCACAGGCCCCAGTTGCATCTGGTTTGTACAGGGTAAGGTGAATACGCTCTTTTCACTCACAAGTCTTGTAAGTAGGTGTGGTGCTAAACTAACAAAAAGAAATCTCAGCATAGGTCAATGTGGAATTTAACTTTTTAAACATTTTGTCTGCTTAACTGAAACTAAACCAGACTTGTCACTGACAGAGACCAGACACTACTTGACTTATAATAAATAAATGAAACCCAAGAGGTATTCCAAGGAGACCAAGAATTACTTTCACTAAAAGTTCTCCTCCGTTCAGGTCCTTTAATCATTCCCTTGGTGCAGCAGCTAAGAGGCAGTAAGATATTTCTATTGTCTCCCCATGGACCAGTTCCTCAGAGAAAAAGGCCAGAAGCCAAACAAATAGCATGTAATTGCGTTCCTCAACACTTCTCTGGGTATGGTTATAAGAGATACCATACACTGAAGCAACATTTTAGGGGGGGGGGGAAGTACTATTGATTTAATGGCAAACGATTAACAAATACAGTGAAAACTAACTCAGAAAAGCAAAGGTTTTCACAATGGCATTGCTTTTAAGCTCCACCACAAACAGACCTTGATAAGGTAAATATCCTAGAATTAGTCAGCAGGATCCTTGAAGGGTTGTGCTGTTTTCCTTTATGAATCACCCCAAAATTATGCAATTTGCATTACGCCTGCGAGGACAATGCCAGATAGAAGGAAGTATCACACCTTAGATATATATTAGATAAGGAAGTTGGGTGTAATGCAGTGAGTGCAGTTCCCCATGCTGATATCACTACTGCAAACTGTAGATAAGAATTCTGTCCTTGAAACATGGACTAAAACGTGCTAGTATATGTTACTTCATGTAGCTGGAAATGGATTCACATTTCCCTCTTTTGTCTCTGCAAGAGAACATACTTTTCATGTCTACATTAAACAATTATAATAGCAACAGATGTAGGTAACCCCCATGTGAAACATAATTCAAAGTGCTGCTACATAAAGCTACATGGAAATACAGAATGAAAAAAAAATAATTAAGAATAGATTCAAAGAATGAATACACATTGCAGAAGGTTTGAGTAAGGACTTCCTCTGAAGAAGGTGAGCTCAGAGTGAAGAAGTGATTTCTGGACTAAATTGGTTCACGTAAACAAACTACAAAGATGTCTGAGAGAGAAAGACTCAAAAGCTGCAGTCCTGGAGAGATGAAATGGAGCAGAGTTTGATACTAGGTTGCACTGTAGTTTCTATGAACAAATTGTTCGTATGAAGCTAAAGATGCATAAAACCTCAGGACTGTTTTCTAGTAAAATAACTTCTGGAATAAAGTGGCATGTACAATAATCTCAACATCTTTTGAGATTTCTTTTATTTTAATAAATCAAATAAGGTCAAAACAAGTAAGGTTCTTTTCCTTGCTTTTAATAATCTTATACAGAAGGGCTTCAAAATAACAGCAGACTGGAATTCCTTAAAGAAGACTGATGTCTTTGTGCACCAAAGTGCTGAGAACAACAATAATTTCATGCTATTAGTGAGAGTTAACTTTTTGCAATATAAAAAAACATAAACATATTTTAATAAAAACCTATAAAGCATAACAACTATTCTAAAATACTTTAGCTGTAAAGTGTTTCCCCCCTACCCAACACCAAAAAACACATCTAAACAAGTATGGAAGAAAGTAAATACCTACTATGCACCAGATGACAAAGGACATTTCAAACTTGTGAGGAAAACTAAAAATTGACAAGCCAAGAAATGCAAAAACACACGTTTCTGAAAAAGAGAAATCACATCTTAAATAAACAATTCTATAAAACCTTTTCTACTTCTATTATAAGTTACTATATATGTTACATAAAATATTATTTTCTGATTTCTGAATGCACAAAACAGGCACAAATGCCACTATGCAAAAGGCCAGATTCTTCCACTCACTGTCACTGGACAGCACCTTAGTCTGTGTGTGTAGGCTTTTTTCAGCTGTAAATTACTAACAAGTATGAACAAAGCCTTGTTCTAAAGACTAAGGAATTTTTTACTTGAGGAATACAGGACAAGCTGCAGAACACAAGCTACAGGAACAACTACTACTGACTTCTGTAGCTTTGAATCATTCTATATAAAACTGAAATGTCAGGCGCAATCTCGTATATTGTAAGTAGAACACTATTAGAAAGTATTCAATTCATTAAATTCTTATAAACAGCAGCAGTTCATGACTTACTTTGTAATAAAATACCGAACTGTATGATCTAACAACCTTTGTACAGTCTAATAACCTCTTGAAGTGATGTTTGCAAATCTGAAATAGTACCAGCACTGCACAATGATTACAGTAATCTAACACCGACTCATTACCATCAGAGAATCGCAGAGTCAAGATGTTTCATCAATTCACTGCTGTCCTAGCAAGGTAGGTTCCGTATCATAAAGGCAGTTAAAACCACGATGGGTTTGGACAGACAGTAGCAATACCTGAGTTATTGCAGCATAGAACATTGGTCATGCTTTGGGTACTGGCTACTTACATTTGCATGGTCAAAACCTCCTGCAAACATGTACAAAATTGCACAGTATCTTAAATAACTCCTCCACAGTGACTTGAATGAATACATAGTTTTTTAGCATTTGTAATGGATTAAGACCAAACCCTGATGAGCTACTGGTGCTTAGGTAATGAGTGGTTAAGTTTAGTTTGCTGCAAGACCACTCCCTGACCATATTCCAAATGCATCTTCCCGCAAACTATACAGAAAACATTTATGTGATCCCCTAAAAAACAGGGATGTATTTGTAATACAGAAGCATACCATTTCTTTCAAAGTTTGTCATGTAAAAGGAAATGGAAAGGCTATGGGATTCTGAGCTGCTTGTATCACTACTTCCAAAAACTTATCAATTCGTGAAGCTATTGTTTTTGCAAGTAGCTTTTTATATACAGAACCGTTTCAAAAAAAACCTGCTAAAAATCCATCTCCTAAAACTAAAAATAGATGAGAGGAATATAGGAGTCAGAGATCTCTATTCGGTTATCAATCTTGTAGCAGATCTTAGCAGGAGCCCACAGCATGGGAGAGAGAGATTTACTGTATGTTTTATCCAGTATGGCAGGAAAGGTGACTTTTGACTGCCTTGCAGCCTCCATATTAGGAATTCTTCTCTGAAATACATGTACCACTAACGTACAAATGGCTAGAAGAAAGTTCACACCTCTGCTGCTCCCATCAGAATCACAATTTCAGGCAAATAAAATTTTAAACCATTAGTATTAGATATCAAAAGTAGGTAGCACCTACCACACATGAAAGCAACAGTTCTCAGTGTCTGCTGCATTAAAATCTGTGTAACCGGGGACAAGTTATGGTGTGTATAGTGAGACATCACGATGCCAGAGAAGAGGATTGCCATGATACCTGTAGATAAAAACATGGCAGTCAACAGAAGAGGAATAGCTTGCACTGTGCAAATATTTGTGCTTATAGCCCTTACTAACACAAAAGCTTATGAAGCAATAAGTGGAGTTTCTATCACCATTGTTATTCATATTTGTCTCATTCCACTGGTCATATTAAATACTAGGAGGTCCAGTCTAGGTCACTTGCAACCTAGAATAAATCTCTGTTATGTCATGTTTTCCCATAAAAGTGAGGGAAATAGAAAGCCAATTCTCGAGTGTCCTTCCTACTTTTCACTCTCCTAACAGGTAGAGAGGTGAGATCAAAAGAATAAAACCAATTTGAGAATAGCGGGGCTAGAGAACTGTATGATTCAGTTCTCCCAGAAAGCATGTCATTCTTTCCTACCTGCTGATCAGCCAGGCCCAATCACTCCACCAGGAGTAAGACCAACAGGGCATGGCTGTGATCCAGTCCAGTATGGTGCACCACATCTAATACCATAAAAAATTAACGAATAGCCCACACAGGTGTACCTCCAATTTTCCATCAATCTCAGAATCAGAAAAAGCTATTGAGACTTGAGAATTCAGGGCAAAAATACCTTTGTAGGAATCCTAGAATCATTTAGGTTGGAAAAGACCTTTAAAATCATTAAGTCCTACCGTAAGTATAGTGCAGCCTGATACGTAGGCCCTGGAAGAAATGCTACTGTGCAGAATGTCCCTTGCCTCTAGCAGAAAGGGTCACTAAACCATGTGCTGTAAATTACTACAGAGATTAATCTCAGCTATCAGCTATGGGAAAAGCCACCAAATTTTCCATTACAGAGTTCAGTTGCTCTAATGACATGCACAGCTTGGACAGAGAAACAGCAACTGGTATCACAGCCCAGAACAGTTACCTCATATTTCACTACATTTCACAAATCTTTGATTTGTGTTAGGGATTTTTTCCATCTACCTTGCTTCCCAGCTCTTGGTTGTTTATGGGAAGAATCTGAATTTCAACCTATTTCACTAACTGCTCAAGACATATCACAGACGCTGTCAGTTGTTCACGTTCATAGGGAGCTGGCTATCTTAAAGGAAGTTTTAAGCATTTCCACAGCTACTGCATAGACTTACACTTGGAAAGGATGTCATTTGAGATGATGGTTAGGATTGTGGAAAAATTAAGCAGTCCACTTGAAGAATAACTACAGTGCTCCTTGTGAGCAAATAACTGACCAAAATTGACAATATAACCCAGAAGAAATCAATTGCAATGCAGATCCTGAGAGGACAGGATGACATGGGGGGAATGTGCTGCTTTGTCCAAAACAAGGGAAGTTTAAAAGACTAGAAGTATTTGGCTGGAGGTATGTGCCCAGGAGTGGCCAAGATGAATGCAACTGGAAGGATGAGAATAGCTGAGGTACAGTCAAAAGGATCCTTTGTTTGAAACACAGACATGACCTACCTAAGGTCATTCAAAGTTTGTATTTCTTGAGAAGTCATTCCTGAAGGCACTTGAGCAAATTACAGAGGTTGTCTTTACCTCTGTAAAATGATAAAGAATCTGTATCATTCTGAGAGTAACTAACTAGGAATCTTACTGTAAATTCATTTTCATTTTATACCAACATACAGATGTGTTGGTTATATAATGCAATGGCACCGTAATTCTGCAAGTTGATTATGATTTTGTATTAATAAGCAATATAAATTAGAAATAGAAAAGGCCACATGCTAAGACCCTCCAGAATAATATTCTAACAAGGCAAAACTTGTTTTTACAGCAATTGAAATATTTTAACATATCAAACTGCTTGCTCAGGCTTCATATAATTTCATTCCCCTACATATGTGCTGGCCTATACGCACATACAGAGTATTTCTGGATGCAAGTGGGCAGAATGGAATGTTCGCATTAGGATTATACATCTGGATTGTGTAACTACCATGATTACAGGCCACATCTTCATACATATTAAAAAATACAGCTCCACTGACATCAGTGAAGGTATGCTGATATACACTGCTACAGATCCATCCCAAAATATTCACATTACTTCACATGTACATTTTCAGAAAGTCTGATTTCATACCTGCACCTCATTCACAAGAAATCTAGTCCTGCTACTACTCCTCACAAACTTGTTACTGATCTTATATAGTCCCAGTTGTAGAGCAAATACATCTTTTAATGCACTAAAAAAAACCCCCAACAACCCAAGGAAAAAAACAGAGGGGAAAAAAAAAAAGAAGAAAGAAAAAACAAAAACCCCAAGCAGACTCCCTAGCTATTTGAATTATACTAACTGTTGCATCCCTTCCACTTTCCTGTGAGAAATGAGACGGAAAGGTGATTGCCTTAAAAAACTACTTAAATCAGCAAAGGTCAGAGACATTGGGCATCCAGCAGAACCGGACCCTTTCTTTGTACTTGATTCTACAGAATGATGAACGAAGTTCACCTGTAAGCCTCTTCTCGGGGACTTTAGCAAAACTTCCATCAAGTATTCAAAGATATATACAACACTCACTGCTCTCAGCTCAATGGCACTGAAGGACAGGCAGAAAAATGGCGACAGGGTAGCAGGCTGGACATTATCTAAGTTAGCTGACATGATTGAGATCTACAGCGTGCAGCTGAAATTTTAATTCTGTGTCAGGCAGAGTTAACTGGGGAGAATACTAGTATTTACATTGGCTAACTAATGCCTATGAAAACCTGGATTATCTTTTCTACACTTTTATAACAGAAAGTAGAGAATAAGTATTTCTGCAAAGTAAGAGCACAGGTTAAATAAAAAAACAGGGGCCCACTTAGACACAAATAATACCTACTCCCTAAATTTATCAAAGAAACTAGCACATACTCATTTTGCTACTCACCTGAGAGTGAGATACCCTCTGCAAGTCCATAAGGAAGGTAAGCAAAGATAATCATCATCCCAAACTCTAGGGAGGGTGTCTTCCTTAAATCAATGTGCTTTAGCACGTACACATGAAAATGTTATGGAAAAAGTAAATAAAAAAAAATTCAAAGAATAATTTAAATCTGTGTCATTCTATTACAAAACAATGATTATGCTTAACGTACTTATCTACTGAATAGCTAATAAAGTCTATACATTGGCCTTTGACTCAAGTATGGAAAGATCAGTAATTTCTTACGAGGAGTGTTTCTTATTGGAGCTACTGCTGGTGGAAGTCTATCAGAATGGACAGACCTAGAGACAGAAAAGATCTCCTACTGATGTACCTGTACAATACTGATAACAACATGCTAGATTGTTTGTTTGGATCTTGAAGGGCCATCTCCCTACATGTTCAGTCTTTGAAATCTCTGCTTCAAACTACTGCAGAAAATCTACAAAGAATCATTAAACAGTAAAGGCTTTTCTAAAAATAGGGGAGAGCTATGAAACAGCAAATCAAAAGTAAAATAGCTCTCATTTGTGTTTTAACAAAAATAATGTCCTTTTGATACTCAAGATATTTAAAACTTACTTCACATTTGTAGTCATAAATGTGGATATTTGTCAAGGGCCGCAAGTTCTGCTTTGCATCTCATGCACAGTTCTGCAGCACAGTTGCCAAGTACAAGTAGATTTTGCCTCAGACAACATTATTTGCCACACTAAGCATGGAAGCAATCTCCTCTGTTCAGTCACTAGACTTCTCTTTACTTTCAAACAGATATGACAGATTTGCAGGAGTATTAACAGTGAGGAATATTGCTTCAATCACATCCTTGCCTTAAGACTTAAAATACTCCATCTACCATCTTCATTAAAATTCAGAAGATTAGATGCCTGTGACATGGAAGTTCAAATTCCTCCTGGGTCACGAACCAGCAACAACCTTCAACTATATTTATCTGCTGGCAACTAATAAGAGATGTTCTTTGCTGCATTGAAATTGTGCATGCTTAGGGTAAATCCAATACTTTGAGGCACAAATAACTGTAAATATGGCAAATAAGCTGCTTTTCTCTTTGTCTTAATATCCTTTAGATATCAGTGAAAGAACTGTTGAACATCTGTCTCCCTCTTTTGCAGTGACGTATGGAATAATTTAAAAGTTCACGGAATCGGGCTAATGAACCAAGAAGGGAAATATGTCTATATTTAATCAAACACTCTGTTCTTGTTATTTACAAACAGAGCGCTTAACGGTATGTCCCAGACGACATGAGTAACTGTTGTACAAGCCTAGCACATAAGACTACCTACAGTGAAGTCAGAGATAACATTAAACAAGCTCTGAAAAGTAACAAAGGTGTCTGATTTACGACAAACATCCTTCCTAATCTCAGCAGAGAAGCTTCTGGGCTGTTTAGCAACCAGTTCATGGAAGTGGAAGAGGCAAAATATAACTCAACGTAAATCCAAATAGAACAGTATCTGTATTCAGCTGCCTGAGTATGATACATAGGGACAAATGAGTTGGTCTGACTCAAAAGCCCTTGGGAAAGGCAGCTTTTTTTTTCTTTTTAATTAACTGTTTTATGTATGTAAAAAAGAAACCATATGCTTGTAAAAATGGATCAGTATTGAAATGGAATTAATATATGAATTTACAAAACTATTACCACATTTTATAACACTCCAGTGCACATAAGCTATTATACAGCATTTCAGACCTTAATTATGTTTATAAAAATTTGATGCAACTTCTTAATACACATCCATGCACACTAACATAAAACAAAACGAGCATGAGAAAATCCTCAGCCAATAATATAATGTCTATTAAGAGATATCCCCTAAGAAATGCTGGAGAAGATGAGAAAGGAAAATACTAGTAGAATGTTGAAGTTCACCAATTTATACATGTGCATCACCAAAATTAAAAAAGGATATTAATGCAGAAATAAGACCAGTAAGTGTGCCAAGCGCCGCAGAACCAAAGAACATCTTGAGAAAGTATCCCAGTGCCTGTAGAAAGGTTTGCCATCCACTTACATCTGACATATTTTCTCTTGTCAAACCTTCTGCTGTGCTAGAAATAATTAAAAATTAAATAAAAAGAAATGGTTATAAATTCTAAGCCTGAGTCCAAAAATACCAAAAATCCTTTGAGAACAACAACAACGACAACTTCCATTTCTTTGTTGCTACCACTCTTAAAAGGCTTTCCTGTGATATATGTAACGAGGAATGTCAAAAGACGTTAAATCAAGTCTTAGTGTAATCCCCAAAGGGAAACCTAATTCTGCTAAAAATCTGGAAATCCAGCATTGCTCTTCTGAAGAATCCCTAGAATGGCATAAATAGGCTATGATAATGCCAAGTATTACAAAACAGTTTTCAAACTTTGTAAAGGAAAACACATTTCGCAGTGGTAAAAACTCAGGGCATGAAAAAGAAAAGAGATGGATTATGTGATCCTTGGAGAAGAACAAATGAACAGGAAGACCTCTCATCAAATATTTAGGTGTGAATGAGAGACAAGAAGGTCACTGAAGAAAAACAAAGAAGCTCTCAGGAGGAACAGGGAGAAATCTCTTTGAATTTCAGGACTCTATTTCATAGAATTCCATGCAAAGAAGATATGGATTCTAGTGTTCCTTTTGACTTCACGGTCTTCCATAAAAGAACCATGACTGTATCAAAAGCAATTAGTGCACTGAAAATTGACTCTAACTTCACTATCTTCTTAGTATATGTACTCCTTCTATACATTCATAGTCACATCTATTGACTTCAACAATAGCATGAAGATATATCACTATTTTTTTTTACTCTTTCAGCCCCAAAGAATTACCATGGGCAAAGGACAAGGATAGCAGATGTTGTTCTTCCCTGTGATAGCCCCAACATAAATATAAAACTATTGCATGGATGTTGGTGTATACCTCCTCTCCCAGCTGAAATGTGATTCATGGTATAAGCCAATGACACAAGAGACACAGCTGCTTATTTGGAAAGGTAAATATTTTTGTGTAAGTCTGAAAGGACACATGTTGGTTTTCTGTTGTCAGGACCCTCAGATGGAAAGAGAGCTGGTAAACATGTGGACTTAGAAAGCAATCAATTATCGGGGATCAATGACATGAGGCACTGAGGTAGTCGTAATAAGACACCCTTTTACTGCCTTCTGTCTATGCAGTTTACATTATGGATTGCTTTTAACAAAGAAGGATCATGCAAAATTCAGCTTTACACCAGAAATACATGCTTTGTTCCAAATGGAAATGGAAGAATTACTGTATATCTGAATAATTAATTAACAGAAAATAACGTGGTTGCTGTTTCCACAAGCACATGTAGTTCAAATGCACTTACTTGGTCAAGACAATAGAGACTGCATCATTGAGAATGCTTTCTCCAAAAACCAACATGTTAAGTACAGGATCCACATTGAGGGCATTAAAAATGGCAATAGTAGCCACAGGGTCAACCGCAGATATTAAAGAGCCGAATGCAAAACTGGGAGAACATAAAACAAAAAAGAAAACTAGATGAACGAAAAATATGTACCTAGTAAAGTTATATGAACAACTAGTAACAAAGACCTTATATGTTATAGTATCTACACAGTGCAAAGGTATGATGTCTTCCCATTCATAAGAACCTGAAGTGACAAAAGGGAAGTTTTTGTTTTTCATTTACTGATATACCTAAGAGAAAAGTTGTTATCCAGCTGCAAGAGATACTGGAAAAATAACTATCTCCCAGCTCTCAATAACAGTATCAGTGTCTTACTCCAACTAAATTAAAAAAAAAAAAAATCAGAGGAATGAGAAACCAAACAACTTTACAGACACAGCCCAAGCCACGTATCCTACATGCATATTGTTACCTGTTCAGGAGTACTAGAGAGGAACATTTAAAGGGAACTGCTAAAACTTCATTTGTTTGGAATCCGAAGATAGACAATACAGAGACAACGGGACTGCTCAGCTTTGTAAAGCCAAACACTGGAACCAAGTAAGGAAGATTTCTGTTGTTCATGCATGTTTTACTTGTTATGTTTCTTGCTTGCCACCCAATTCATTTATGGATTTTAACAGAAAACTGCTGTATTGGCTATACAATACACAATCATTCCAAATAAACCAGGAACAAACTTTATTTAATGGTAGGGTGGTGTACTCCTAAAAACCTGATTAGATCCTTTGCCAAGTTCTTGAAAAATCTACATTAGTGATACCGAAAAACTCATTCTGTCTTTTAAGAGAAAATTTGGACAAGGAAGTTATGCCCATATCACATATATTAATAACACCAACTAATTGAAGTTTACATATTTTAACTTTAAAGGTTGGTAAAAAGCTTAGTATTTTCTCTGTCTAGAAAAATCACTGAGCACAGAATACTATTTGGAAATAAGGGTGTAATAAATAGAGTTTAGAAGTGTTTGATCTATTTATTAGTTTCATACGCCATGTTGAATCTAAGCAATCTAAACAATAATCAGAAGAGCTGGCTAACTACAGTGCATTTCCCATACAGATTTATCTTGAAGAATGCTTCATTTCATATACTACACCATTTCCCCAAGAGCTTACCTGTCTGTCATGTTGAGTTTATAAATTACATCAGCCTGAAAGAATAGGTAAAACATAAAAAAAAAAAAAAAAATCACAATCAACTGTGTTTTTCTGCTGTTTTTAAAAATGAAACTATTCATCAAATCCTAAGTTTGTTATTATGAAAAGAATCACTGTAGTGACATTACCCAGTCTAACACTGCGCTCCAACAGTGATCTACTGCTGCAATTCTGGTCACCCAAAATCAGGGAAGACCAGATGAAACTGGAACAGATACAGGTGAGTACAGTAACTAAGGCATTCAAAGGAATGGAAATCTGAGAGGCAAAGAGGAAAGTATGGATTATTTGGCCTACCAGAATGAAGTCTGAGAGAAAACATAATTATCTACGTTCTTATCTAATCAATGGGGAAACACTAAAGCAGAGAAGTGAAAAAAATTATTGACAGAAGAACAAGTAAACTTAATACTGAAGATTAGAAGATGGCTCTAGAGAATACAGCCTTCCTATTGGAAGATAGAATAAGTAAAAAAAGGTAAAACTCAAGTCTTAATTGCTTTTAACACAGAGCATGCTATATCTATGGAAGGGATTAAATAACATTGCCTCTGTGACAGCAGAGAACTGGACTTTGTGACCCAAGAATTCACTTTCCCTATGTTTGCCTGCTCTTGAAAAATGGACTTTCAAAGAGCAAGCTGGAAAAACTTAAGTGCTCCAAAGCAGTTATTCTTACCTGGCCCAGGAAATAAATTCCTCCACCTACAATGAAAGCTGATATTGCAGTGCCAAATACAGAAAACAGAGTGATGGAACCGATGTTCTGAAAAAAATTACCCTGGAACACAATAATAAAGTAAATTAGTGAAAATTATCTGAGGGAAAACCCATGTTTGGGTTTGCATCTAAATTAAATTCTGATTCACAACTGGGTTTCTGATCATAAAGCTTCATTAGTGTGGTTCCAGGTACCCTAGGACATACATCCACACCACCTGCCTAAAGAGCCTGCTCTCTTGAAGACAACAGCAAATCCCTCTGACACCCAGGACAGGCTGTCAGTCTGGTACCCTAACAACAAACCAATCCTCAGGTGAATAGATGGATATTCACCAGCACTTTGACACATTCCCCACCTGACAGAACTGTAAATTAATCTACCTATTGCAGACAGGGCACGTGAAGGAGGCTTGTAAACTTCCCAGTTGCTAGTTCGTTTCTTAGGTTGTGATTTTGTACGGAAAAAATCTTCAGTGTTGGTACCAGTTCAGGATATTACTATCGCCCACTGCTCACACCCTCTCCTGCAGCACAGCTCAAGTAGAAAGGCAGCACACAGGGAGGACCAGAACCAATTCAGCCAGGACTAGTGCTGTGAGAAACGTCCATGGAAACACAGGCTCCCAGGCAAAGGGTGAAAACCCTTGTAAACATTTTCCTCTTCTTTCCTCTTCTTTAGCTGTGGAGTGACCTCACCTTTCCCACTTCTGATCCTACTCCTTCCCATTTTGCCTCCTTCACATCAGCCCTTGTACAGCTCTGATGAGGTAAGAAACGTCTCCAACCAAGGGAAACAACCTCTGCACAGTACTTAACACCTTGCCAACATTCAGCTAACAGCAGTAAGTTACATCCCCCGCATTCTGGGTTGAAGAGGCTTAAATTTTGCATTCTCAATTCCCTGATGATCAATATGATGGAATTTCATGCAATTATTCTAAACTTCATAAAGATAACTAAAAGCAGAACGTATTCCAAACAAAACCCCAATGTGTAAAATGAGTGCCTGGCAGGGGCTAACCTTGTGCAATGAATATCCAGATTCAAATATAATAGGTGGAAGCAAAAGCAGAAAAAACATATTTGGACGAAACATTTCTTCTTCCTGCAAAACAAAAATGAGGTGTAATTTCAGGGATATAATAACTATGGAAATAACAGCAAATCTTCCAAAAGGAAAATTATTTTTTAAAAAACCCCAAACAAATAATGTTGGAAAATGAAAATGACATTAATCTTTCTACCTTCTTATCACAAAATACAAGACTGAAGAACAGTAAACTACTCCAGGGCTGCTGCTTCTATTGTGGTTTTTTTTAATCCAGTGATAGAAATCTAGGCGTTACTTATTTTAAATTACTGTCCTCAAATAAGCTGCACAGAAAACAGGTTATTTATGGCAAAGGAAAAATCTTTCTGTTTCCACAAAAAGTATTCCCATTTTATCTTGAAATCTGTAAGGACTGTCAAGGAACGGTGACTTCTTGGCCACTGGTTTGAATATAATCAAGGTTAACTGTGACCAAGTACTGTTTCACTAGAAAACTCATCACCTGACAAGAAGAAATCAGATCATCATCTTAGTACACTGGCAGTGTACTGGCAGGCTCAAGATATATACCACTGTCAAGAGTCTGAGGCTTGATTCTTCTTGGCAAATGTAATTTATGCCTGAAATTTAATAGTACTATTCTGATGGTTCCTTTTTACCATCAGAGTAATATAAACGAAACCTACCGTGAAGATGTTATTTTTTGGTGACCTTACTCTTTGTCACCGATCTCATCACTTAGCTAACACTGCTTCATGGAGTTGTACCCCCATACTGACACCCTGTTTTTCCTGCTGGCAGACTAAACACAGAAGGCAAATTAATCATGGCTGAATGTGCCTCTCTCTTTTTACCCATGAGGCTCCCTCCTTGTCCCCACAGTCCTGAATACAGCAGAATTTGTCACCTTTGTTAGCAACGATTAATTTGTTTAAATCCAGGTTGAACAGCTGATTGACTGTTCTGTTAAAACACCAGCTTTGAAAAAAGAAGTACTCATCTCTTTAAAGTCTCATTCCTGTCTGTACCAGTGATAATCATCTTAAAGGATTTGGGGGACTTAGAAAATAAAACTCATCCTTTATAATGAAATGCTTTAGTCTATTATTCTGCATGCACAATTCCATGCATTGACGGCTAACACTACCTAGATTCCGTCAATACAGTAACTGCGCTAGGACAAAACTCCCCCATACCTGATAAATTACACTGTGTAAAAGCCCCTGAAAGCCGATCTAGATAAGGAAGCAAGAAATAATGAAAAGGATGGACTGCATTTGTGCTGCATTGAAGCAGAGAGTAGGAAAGTAAAACATGAGGACTGTAATTATCAGCCATGCTAGCCAGCAAGAACAGCCAGCAAGTACAAGGTCCACCGAAGACTTATTAAGGCATGATAGCAAGAAATTACATTACAAAGTTCTTAGGGCATGGCTATGATCCAAGATGTGCTTTGTACACAGATATAGCCTGCAGTTAAATATTCTATTTTTTTTTCCATATCAGATAAATAAAAATTCTCTAGTAAATTTAAAAAAACATTTAAAACGATTTTATAAAGTACATAATAATTATTGATTAGAACATTTCACATCTGAAATTATGACAGCCTATGTTAAAAACCTAAGCTTTAATACAGTGAAAGTAACTTAAATAAGCAAATAATAATGTGATATTTGTGACCCTTTACCTTAGCTGATAACATGAGCAACTGGACGCAGCATCCCCAGTGCCTCCCAAGATTTGACTAATGCTTACCAGAAATAAACTACATAATTCACTAGCAATGATCAATATTTCCTGTGTTTATAGAATCTGTGCTCAAATCAGAGCATATTTGAAGCCTTGTTTTCTCTTCCTACATGCTTCTTCAGATTATTTTATTTAACCAATAAGAAGCTATTTTAAAATGCTGATTTTGCAGCTGTTTAACTGACTTTCAATTTTAAGTCAAACCCAGTTGACACAAATCAGGAACAAAAAACCACTAACTAGTACACCACCCACTGTTTCTAATACATAAATATATAAAAATGAAATATCACAACATGACTCGAACTATGTAATTGCTTAAATGAATGTACACAGAATTAATATAGTTAGTTGACAAAAAAGAAGTACAATATGCAATTAAAAAGCTGCATCTGATTGAAAATCTATGCATTTTAATGTATTTCAACTAAGGAGAAAAAAAAATAAATCTTCCTTTAAGGAAATAACTGCCAAAAAATATTAAGCTGCAAGCCAGGATTAAAATTTACTACTCAGACCAAGATTTTCAGCTTGCTAATATAAATCCTGTTTAAAACTGGTGATTCAAATCACTGTGATTTCAATCAGTTCACTGATCTAATCCTAATAAACTGCTGAATCCTACGAAACAAACTCACAATTTAAATACTGCAAGAAATTAAAGCAGGAATAGTGAAGGGTTCATTACTATGATGATGTAGATAAACTGTAGGAGGCAAAATCCTTGCTTCACTGTAGACTTCACCTTTTGCAGACACCTCTGCCAGGATTCTCCCTCCCCGGGGAAGCCTCTGTAGCTCCACACATGCACAGACTTCATAGCATCACACACTAATTTAAGTTGGAGGAGACTCTGGAGGTGTCTGATCCAAGCTCCTGCTTAAAGCAGGGCCAACTCGGAGCAAGTTCAGCCGCTCCAGGCTTTATCCAGCCAAGTGTTGAATATTTTTGTGGATGGAGATTCCCACAATCTCTCTGGTCACGTCTTCCTATGGTTACCATCACTGTTAACAGTTTCTTCCTAGGATCAAAGTCCATAAAGCACCGGGCACCAGGACAAGGACAACCTTCTGCACACAAGCTTTACCTGTATTTTCTGCTGGAAATAAAGCTCAAATCATGTTTCCATTGTCTCAGCCAGTGTGAAAAATGCCACTGCTTCAGGCACACTGGTTTTTATGCAGTCTTTCCACAGGAAGCAATAGAGCACCCAAAGAACATGCCATGATGAAGGGACTGCTTTTTGAACTGTCTGTTGTAAGCACCACAATTTGTTACAGTTTTAAGTACAAGTAAATAAAATAAGTAAATAACATGACTTTTAGCACAGCTATTCTAAAGATGTGCTCCTTTTTACCTCTGTGAAATCTACGTTAACACCTTCAGGTAAAACATGTGACTTCACAACCTATCGAAACACATTTTTTTCTATGAAAACAGCTACCAAACTAACTCCAAAAGGAGGAAAAGGACTAAATACAGTCAAAAAGTATACAAGATAAATAACTGAACTGCTGTGTTTTTTACTGTAACTGATCCCAAAGATGCCTAGGACCTTATTCTACCATATATCTAATAGGAACAGATTTGGTACAGTAAAAAGGATTACTCAGGGAAAAAAACATTTTGTAGAAAATGTTCACCAGGATCAGGACCTCAAATTGGTTGTATTATTATTAAAAAAACTCCAAACTTTGGCATCAAGTATAAAGTACATAAGTTTTTGGAAATTACATCTAATGAAAATAGTATTACAAACAGTCTTATTTTAAACATTTAAAGATTGTTCTACCATTAAAAATTGCTTCAAATATACCTTCCAGTTGGCCAGCTTTTGAGCCTCTATGATTTTTATAAAAGCTCCCATAAGGATACCTAGGAGAGAATGAGATAACATTCTGAAATATTCACAAAGCACATCACTGTTTCCATTAACTGTTTATTGATGCTCAGTCAATAAAGTTTTAAAAGTGAAAACAAGGCAAAACATAAAGCAGTAAGTCTTTCATTCCTACATCACAGAAACACAAAGACGTTTTGGGTCTGATATATGACAGTTTCCAAAACGTTACATAATTACATAGCTTCCCTACACAAAAGATTGTCACTTGGGATATACAAATACCGAACACACATATTGAGAGTGCTGTGTTCATTGGTTCATAAAGGTAATAGGTTTAACTACTCAAAAAGGCTTCTTATCTAAGCTGCACTCAAATAAAATTCCACCTTTCTTGCTAAAGAATCAGGAAGTTATGAGTTAGATATCTGTGTGACAGTGCAAAACCTTCATGTCACTTCAATGTTATTTGCAGTGTTAACGCAGCTTAAGTGAAATCAGTCTTCTCCACAGAAGTGAATATTCTCTCAATGAAACCATAGCACTTACTGGCAACGAAGCAGGCAACAAATTCTGATCAGGGTGGAGACACTGTCAGAACTATTTTCCAAATTAATTACACTTCTTTTAAGTCATGTAGAACTACTAATTTGAGTATAAGAGAATTTTATCAAGGGTGTTGGAAAGTCAACAGTTAAAGGTTATCACGCTCTTTCCTCCTATACATCTTCAAACAGGTAAAACAGAAAACTCCAAACTAACAAGATTTCTTCTGGAAGTCATGAAGATAATTCATTAATTGCTTTCAAGGAGTTTTGAGGAATTTGTCTTTAGTCAGAGTCCAGATCTGTATTTCTGCATAGTTGTGTTTTATTATTTACAGAATGGAGAGAGACTTCATAGTCAAACACTGGGATGTAGAAGTGAAACACACTGAATGAAAGGTAAAAAGTGGCTGAGAAGCTTCAAGTATGCTTTGCTCATGTGTTTTTATTCTCTCATGCTGTAGCTATCAAAAGAGTCTTACAAATAGCATCACATGGATTACTCCTGATGGATGTGTCATATGCACAAAGCCATGAGGCTTAATCTTCTTTCATAAAAAATGTGAAGACATTGGTCCCAGAAGATAGAAATAATTGTTCCATGAAATGGTTTAGATGGGAAGGAAGAGTAAAACATTAATGAAGGAACATCAAAGGTCTGCTGTTCTTTGAAGGAGGACAGTATGCAGATACAGCCACTCACATGCCACATAAACAGAGGCCTCAGTGCTAATAGTCAAGCTTTCCATCTCGGATGGAAGCTGTGTCAGATGCCAAGCACCAGAACATTTCTAATTTTTGTAGAGCAGCAACATCATCTTCAACTGCTACAGGCAGTACTTGCATCACTTAACAAGAAGTTTATGTGGGGAAAGAACAAACCACACAAACCAGAGCCTATATATCTGAAGGCAAAGACTTGAGGAAGTGTACTTTCTGAACAAACTTTCAGGATGAATTAGTATTGAAAGCCCTCACACAAAACTATGTTTAGAGGGGATTTACAAGAAGAGAATCCCTTAACTCACTTCTGCTGAAGTGGAAGGGCTTCAGCACAACTTGTGAAATTGGACCCCTGTGAGTAGACCAACTATGGCCTGGGGGCTACAAGCTAGGCATCCCTATCCTGCAAGCTCAGGAGGCTTAAGTCAAAGGCCAGTCTTAATCTCTTTTTTAGAGGAAGAGCTAATCACAAACTGGCCCTAACAATAGTGTCATGGACAGACGAGGTCCTTTCACGTTATCAGAAATTAAACGAGCAACAATATCAATGTAAGGCAACAGCAGAGGTTAAGGAGAAAGGGTGAGCCTGAATCATACAACTTTCACTTTTATATAGCACAAGTTACTTCTAGCTGCATATTACACACAACAGTACTACTAAACTAAGATTATGCTAAACAAAGTCATGAAAGAGAGCTGCACAAAATAATGCATGATCAAGAAAGTTTAATAGCATGCTGGTTTTTAAAACCTGTCCCACACATCTTTACAAACTACTCTTATTACTAGATTAATAAATGCAGTTTTTGTTCAGCTGGTACCATCTATTAAATCAGGTAGATCAGTTTTGTCAAGGGGCTGATTGGAAAGCTAAGTCTGTAAGAGTTAATCTAAGCCTCATTCTTTTGAAAACATTATAAGAATTTTCTTATTACAATCAACCTTTTTCTTGAAAACATGTTAAAACTCAGTAACGAATCAAACAGAAAAACTTTTCTGGTAACTATTTTTACCAATGAAATTCCAGTAATTTTTAAGGACAAAAATAAAAATCCAGCCTTACAGAATGCACTCCATCCCTGTCCACCAGGAGAGTAACATGTCCTAGAAAGTGTAAAACAGAAGCTTCTGAGCAGCTTAGACAATGGGAGGAAAAACAGTCGTGAAAATCATACTTATCTTCTCTGCTGCCATTTTTATTAGCCTTCACTAACTGCTTGAGAACATTTGCTTAATTTGCAAGTCAAAATAGGACACATCTTCTGGCACTGCTAGCAAAACTGGATACTGGAAACTCAAGCTGTGCTCCTGCAGCTGTGTAGATCATTACCAGTAACAGAGGTTCACTGACCAGCAATTAGCTGGCAATTCCAATGATTATACAGATGCCACATGCTGTCAACAGAGCTGACAGTGGTTTAAATACGACCGAGCCAATAAACTAAATAAATAAGGCTTAAGTGACACAGGACACCTGTTAACTGGGTTGCTACTGGGTATAACACTCTCTTGACTTAGTGGAATTGCATTTGCTGGCATCATCTTGTCTGGGTTGGGAGATAGACTACGGCTATGCTGTGGTTCACACCAAAACCCAAACTGCAAGTTTCTTATGTGCCCTCTATGTGAAAATACAACAGATGCAATGCTACTCCTTTTCACGCATCTTGAGCAGCAGTGACAGCCCAGCACAAAAAGTACCAGTTTCACAAACAAGCTTTTGTTGCGACTAACAGGAGCACAGAACATACCAGCACAGCTAAAATCCTTACCCTGCTGCTGAGGTGCCAAGAACAAGAAACAGAAAGAGAAGAATGTCTGTGCCTCTGCTGCTCTCTGCAAAGCTCAGCAGGAGCAGTGATGCAAGCTTGCCTAACACCTCAGCTAAGCACTGCCCAGGAGTTGGCTTGGAGCAGAATATAAGGAATGAGAGCGAAGAAAATCCAAAATTATCCCAGCAAGAGCAATCAATATACTGCTGCATTTTAAATTGGGGACTATGCTTAATTTAGATTAATTATTTAATAACAATCATAACTAACATGATTAGAAGCCAAATCTACCTTTCACCTGGATTTTTGTGTACAAAGAGGAAGGATACTGAAGGGATAGTAATGTCCTTTTAGAATCTTTCAAGACACTGGAAGATATCCTACACAAGACATCTTACCTGTCCATGGCAATAATGTAAGAAGGGAAGGAAGAAAAATGTGTCAATAGTGAATCAAACACTGTATGGTTTCTATGGGGATGACAAAGTAAGTCAGGATTATCTGCAGCAGCTCTGATCATTCTATGTCCTACTGTGGTAAACAGAAGCATAAACGCACAAAAGTCTGACGGATGCTGCTCCTGTAAAGAAGAGGTGTGCATGCAACGCCCAGGAAATCCATACCAGCATTAGGACAGATTTCTTACAGGTCTATTTGTCTTTCAGGTGCACAGAAATATCAAAACTCAAATAGGGTCTTGCAAATGAATGTCTCTTTAAGCTTCAATACCTTCACTATGCTAGTAATGCAATGTGGTCTGCATCAAATAGTTATCTAAAAATTCAGCAAGTCACGCCTGCAGGAAAATATGTTTTTCTTTCTGCTAAATAACAGCTCTAGGATTTTCTCAATCTAGGACCTGAGATGCAAGATGATCCCCATTCTCCAGAAAGCACAAGGCAGCGACAAGCACCAGAAAGCTCCCATTGAGAAATTGTGTGAAAATACAGTTAAGAAATATAAGAGAAGAAGGTACTAGCAAAGCCCAGGAGAAAGTAAAAAAAAAATAAAAATCTATCTGCTCAACAAGTATTACACTTCGCTATATTAGGATTATAGCTAAGCATCTTTCTCTTTTTGTTGTATTTTTAGAATGGCTGTCAGTGAAAATGTCACTAGTAATAGAAGCAAAAATATCACAGATTCTTGTAAATAAGTTACAGAGACAGTTGAAAAACTGTTACTGGGATTAGTTAGATCAGGTTCTTCAAACATTATGCTAGATGGTATGTAGAGAAAACAATAAATACAATTGACCTGATTTCCTCCTCATGTTCATATTTATAAATCAGGAACAACAGGATACAAATAAATGAAATTACCCTAACATAAAACTACAGGCTTAGGAATACCCCAAATTTAATTCAAATTAAGTAACTACTTGATCTTCATTAAGGGTGGCATTCTTATAGCTCAAGCCATAGAAACAGCTCTTGTCATGGTACTACAGGGATAGTCAAGTACCTGGCAAGTCTTCACGATACAATTACAGTCCCCAGCTAGATTAAAATCACATATACAGACATAATTCTACCAAAACCAATACAAACACATGTACCACTTCAAGGGGAAGGCCAGAGTCTTGCTGCCAGGGAGTGCTGCGGTATCTCGTCCTATAGTGCAGATGCAAAAATAGAGGAAGTACTGCCAAAGTACTTAGGTAGTGACATCCCTATAATGCCTATATGTGTCATTTTACTTGGCCGCTCTCTGCACATATGCTTATTTCTTGATTTCTTCCATGAATTTAGTTCTACGAATTGGTTGTTTTCTTCACCGCATCCAGTTTGGTGCATCTTTCTAGTGATGGTTAACACACAACAGAGCATTATTTAATGTACAGACTACTGAGAGTCCCTGAATTAACACAAATTCAATATAAAAATGTCATGGTCACTCACCTAAAGAAACAACAGCCACACTCTCTGGTAAAAAATGAAGTCGGTATTTTATCAGTAAATGCACCAATATGATGCAGATAGCTGTGAAGAAAAAAAAAGAAATTGTAGATTTAGAAGTGGTAGAAGAGAATAAAATATACTTTTAAGTTGTATTTCTAAAATACATGCAGCAAAACTTCTCCTAATGATTTAGTAGAAATCCACTAATGCAACTAACCAAATTTTAGTTCAAACCTAACTCTCACTGAAATACATAAATGAATCTACAAATGACAGAAAATAACTAAGGCATATTTTAGTACTTAAAATTATCTTCTAAAAATACCAGTATTACTACTTTTAGAGCCTGATTCAGCTTACAAGAAAACCTTGTCTGAGCAGTAGCTGTAAAAAATATCAGTTATACAGAATACACTGTTTTAATACTGTTTTTGCTAAATATTTCGTATTTTTGAAATAAAACATACATGTACACAGGGCCTCAATTAAAATTTCAAAGCTACACACTTTCACACCTGAGTCCCTGTAAGTAGATGGGCTTTGCTCAAATGGTAATCACCGAATCAGAAAAATTATACTGGAAGAGATCTCTTGAGGTCATCTAGTCCAACTTCCTGTATAACAATCAGGCAAGAGACTGGAAAAAGCAGTGTTCTGCACAGGCTAAAAGAACATTTGAGTGTCCCCTTAAGGAAGGGCACAGTAAAAGCATATAACATAACAGAAGGGAATTCTTGGATCACATGAACATGGCAGAATAGAGGTATGACTTTGTGTTTGAACAGATAAACAAGCCATAGAAATCTGGGGCCAGAGACTAACTCATGCTACTTCAGGCACTTTAAATTCGGGTCTTGGCTTTGGCACAACACAGCTCAGAACAGATCTGCTTCTGGGTCTACTCCAGTTTAGAACATTCTAAAGGCCATTTTACAGCTCATGACGTTCAGATTTAAAAGTATGGTAGACACATTCATTTTCACCCTTCCTATACCCTTAAATCAGAGATTATGAATGGGAATAACTATGAACAATAAGCTTTTATACTGACTTTACTTTGTTCACAGAACTCCCCTGTCCTGAGGGTGATGCTTTTAAGATCCATCAAGCTATTAGACTGGCATAAATAGGCTAAAACATGGCCAAAAAAAAATCATAGCTCTGTTCTTAAGTGCTAGGAATACAATGGCCCTTTTAAAATCAATGAGACACACATATTCAGAAATTTTATTTTAATCTTAGAAGACTTCTGATCTGCTGCATTTTGCTGTGGTCTTTCATTTCTGTTCAAATTCTACTACGCGATTGACCTCTGGGAAAACATTAACCCTCTCTGAAGATAAATAGATACTTTAGAAATAAGCAAAGCCTACTTTTTGCCACACTTAATAATAGTTATAGGAGACAAAATTTTATTTTTTTAAAATCCAAATGATTTGCAGAAGTTTCTGCATTGCTGTCAACTCCATACCTATTATTTTCTCCATTTGCTACTGGAAAGAATAACCACTTAGAAGACTAGGTGATCCACCTGTCACAGAAGAGTCTCTCAGTGTAGCTTGCTTTGGAGGAACCAAGCACACAAACACACAAGGGAAAACAGACAAACCCTTAACCCTCCATGAAAGTTTTGTTATTGTTTCAGTTTTGACTACAGCATTGCTCTACGCAGATGGTGAGAGATAACTATATCCATTAAAGAAAGATAACAGCCCAGCCTTATAGAAAAGTTGGGCATCCATCTGCCATTCAAAACGCCCATACATATACAACGTTAATATAATTATGGTAATCTGCATGTTATTATCGCGCTCTTGTAGGAATGTAAGAGCCAGAAAAATAGATAAATGTACTTTTGTACTTGTGCATGTAAATCTGACAGCCTTCTATTGGCTTATATAACAACACACCTGAGAGCTGCCCAAAAGCGCTATAAGTAGTTAAATTGACATCTGTCTAGTACAGTCCTCAAAGACAGCTGCAAGCACCATGGAGTATTCTGACCGTGTCTTTTTCATACATGAACATGTGCCATGTGCTTGCTACAGAAGGCAAAGCCAATTAAACATGTTGTTTGCACTTTGCGACCATGGTGAAAAGGTTTGCAATGGCCCTCATCTCTCCACAGGTTTGGGAGGTTCAGGCAGTTACATACCCACTTTCTAAATCCCTGTGCCTGTACAATACTCCCCTTCATAGAGAGAAAAAAGTGGAGAAAAATGCTGATTTTGAAAACTGGCCTATGTCCTCAGGTACAGAGTATGATTAACAGAGATTAAGAAACTTTCAGTTCATCATTCACCTAATACAAGAAGACTAAAAAAAATTGTCATGCCACTAGATTGCTCCTCTTGCTGTGCTTGGACTCCAGTCTGAACTGGAAGGATAGGTTTAGCAGGTGTAGGTACCACCAATTTGGTAGTAGCAGCCAGTGTCGTGTGGAGGGTGACATTGATGACTTCATGGGTTGCATTTGCAGACCTGTCAGGACAATATAGTATGTGATTATGCTGGATGGGAGCAGCATGATAAAGACTTAGCCTACTACAGATATGCACACCGTGAAACAACCACCAGATCATACTGAATTTGTACTAGTGACCAACACATTAGGTTTGTTTTTTAAAAGTGGTCTCTGATCACAGATAAATACTGTAAATTCAGATTCATGGAGCTGATTACTGCTGAGTTCCTTCACACACTGCAGACACCAAATATTCTGCACTGCTGCTTGGGATGCAGGTGAAGGCCTGACACAGGCAGGACAAACTAGCCCACTTAGCCTGTCGAGTGTAACAACCCCGCTGTGTCAGCCCAAGGGCACCCGCAGGACTGCGCTTGCCAGCTCCCACAGCCCTCCCTGCCGCGCAGGGCCGCTTCAGAGCCGGCCTCCCCCTCCCGTGGGCAGGATGCTCCAGGACCCTCTCTAGAGGC